TACTTACGTTACTATATATATATATATATATATATATATATATATATATATATAGTAAACTCATGCACACTTATATGCATATTTGCCGACACACTTCATATACACGTGCAAGGAAATACACAGTTTTTACAGATTATATGTGTATGTATCTATGTTGCAAAGATAATGTCAGCTTCAAATAAGGATATAGGTGTCAAAAATTTCAACTCCAAGAGCCCAAGCTTAATTGATTAGGTCTTGACGATTTGCAATGCTAGTTTTTAGGCTCAATTCCTACCAAGGGGCTACCTCTCCAACTCACCCCAAAAAAAAAAACATGGCTTCATGGACACAACACGTTTAAGCACGTCATTTAGACGAGCACTTATAATATGCTCCAGCGAGAGCATGATGCATGGTGCTCATTTACTCCCTCGGTCAAAAGACCTAGTTGGGAGGATTTTTTCAACCTTTTGGGAATTACCTAAGAATTATTCGAGGATTATTCTTAAAAAGAAAATTGAAATTTGAGTTTTTCAACACTTAGAATTATTGCGACACTTAGGATGAGTTTTCCAACACTTAGGGTTATTCTTTTCTAATAATTGGATTTTCTATTCTTGCGACATTATTTTTTTTCAAGTGCATAATAGGTGCATTTAGTATCTTTTGTATTGAGGTTAATTTATGAGTTGAAGAGGTTAATCCTCAAAATTTGGGGTCCTAAAGTTAATCCTATATGGAGTTTTACCTTAGGGAGTAAATAGAGAGTATCCTTTGACAGGAGAATTAACATCATTTGGAGTCAGTCAAAGGCGGCATGAAACATTTAAGTAGCATGAGATATTTTTGTTTCAACAAGAGGGGTTAAAAAGAAGTGTGTAAATTTCTGAAGTGATCAAACACAATTATCTCGTTCTTATCCATATTACATAATTAGTAGAGTAATATATGAATATGGATGGCTGTCATGCATGTACTGTGTTATATGCATCATCTTGGGTGCCACTATACATGATCAGCATCTCAAAGTGCCAACATTTATATTGGTATCTAAAAAGTTATCTTTTCATTGCTGGTGACCTGAAATTGCTGGGCACTAGGGTTATAATAAGTGAGAATCCCAGCTATATGAGTCAATGGATTGTCTTTTTGGGTTGTCTTTTCGAAAAGTTTATCTAAAGATTGCCGATAATGGGGCCTTCCCACTGAATTAACCAAAAAAAACACCGTGGGAAAGATACCATGATGTATCTACCATAATATTCCATAAAATTTACTCTAAATTCTTTATGATCAGTGACATTTAAAAATATCTTCCATATTTTTACATTTTATGCTCCCTTGTTTTTTATTTTTCTCCAAAATACTATCCATTTAGAATTATAGTTCCAAAAATGCTACTGGTGAGCCGTTCGGAATTAATAGTTGTAGACTATTTTGATTCTTAACACTCACTGGATTTCTTGTAAACAGTCCGACACTAATAATTCCAACTGCTTTGCTTCTTTGCAATGAGCGTTACAACTTTAAGTCCTTACAATGAGTTGTTGGGAACTAATAATAGTTCTGACCGCTTTGATTTCTTACAACGACTCCTTCGGAACTAATAGTTCGGATATTTTAAAAAATATAAAAAAAAAGTGACATAAGGGTAAAATGCAAAATATACAAGATATCTTACAAGGAATATTGGTATAAGATTCCCTAATATTTGCTCTCGTAGACAAATTCTAGTAAAAATAAAGAGGGCCTCATTGGAGCAAAAGGGTAAAATTGTCCAAGTGCCTTCCATGAGAAAACTTAAAAAAAAAAACACAAACTAACAAATAGCTCTGTTTCTTACCAAAAGAGAAAGCACTGAATTTTTGTTTTATGATCAGCAATAGAGATACTCAGATATTTTGATAGAAAAATGATGACATAAAACTAGAGGAACCCCACTTTCCACCACTACAAAAATGGGAACACTTTAGGTTACAAGTGCGATCATTTCTCAGAACCTGGACATGGAACTTTGGCTCTGTACACTGTACTGCACAAAGATGTGGCATAAATCATTTGAATGCTTTCCGTTCATCTAAAATGTCAACTATAGTCTGTTTGGTCAAATTGCAACTTGGGACTTTCATGAACTATTCAACCCAAGTTAAGATTAAATAGTAGTCTTTTTTGGGTAGCTGAGAGGTTGATTATATAGAAGTCTTCCTTAATTTTTTAGAAGTGCCCAACTTTAGTGAAGTTTCTTGGGAAAATGTAATGGTGGCCTGGTCCTCTTTCTTCAACTATGAGGATTATTATTTCATATTGGGTGATGGATCCTCTAATTGTAGTTGCTGAGGATTTCTAAAGGCCTACACTGAAATTTGATCATACTTAATAGGGCATCTTACATTTATTGCATAGAGAATTTGATTGTTATTTTCGTTTTTTTTTTTTAGGGTTGTATATTATGAGACCATTTATTTTTTTTACAAGGAAGTCACAATTATTCCTAACTCATCAAATGTCAAATTGAATGACTTGGAGTATATAGCAAAAGGGAAAGTATAAAATGAAACCATTTACTTTTAGTACAAGGTGACACATTAATCTTGACCATTGAATGTTAAATTGGGTGGCTGCAATTATTCCATTAACCCAACTCAAACTTCAAAAAAAATAATCTCAAACTTTGTGACACATCCAAGCTATCAAATTTCATATCAGATGGTTGTAAGTAATCGTGACCACCTTGTATCAAAGGTAAATAGTCGATTGTAGTCAATCCCGTGGCGAAATTCAACAAATGTTTCTAAACTGACTCTAGTCAGCATGCTCACAACCACCCGATTTGAAATCTAAAAGACAAAAGTGATTTTGACTTTCCACATTGTATGATTTTCCTTTTTTTTAATTAATTTTAAATGCTTCACTAACTTTTTTTTTTCGAAAAAAAAAAAAAAAGAGTTCGCCCCTCTAAATACCATATCCAAAATGGGCGATCCCAATGGTTCCCACATCTCAGCCAATAACAAATAAAATAAGTCATTGCTAATCCCCATTTGTGTCATTTTGATGGCGCATTGTACGAGCAATGGTGTTATTCTTCATTTTTTATTCGGAATGCACTAATAACACATTTCTTTATCCTGAGTTTGGCTAATAACTCAACTCCCAACCCATTGTTACCGAGACCAAATCAAACCTGGTCGCCTTGGCTAGTTCATTCTAAAACAAAGATCGCGTTTAATAAACACCCATTAGATTCAATAGTTGACTAACATTGATGGTCCGACTGGCCAATATTAACCGATTAAAAAGGTTAGACAATTTTTTTTAGAAGAAAACTGGGATTAGCTCATATGAACATATGAGTTCAACAATCCAGATTGAATATATACCGATTACGGATGTTCGGCATGGTTTAAATTTTAATTTATTTTTTTTTCTACATATCCAAATCACTTGAAATTTTAGGTGTGTGTTTTTCTCATCAAGGCACACTTAATAAAAATATAAAAAAAAAATTATTCGAAAAAACAAAAATAACCAAAATACCCCCTGAAACTTTTCGAAAGTATTTTGATCAATTTATTTCATGTAAAATAGTTTTTTGATATTTTTCAATTCACCTATTTTTGATAAACACACGTCTAAAATTTCAAACGATTTAGATTTGTAGAAAAAAATTATTCAAACACTATCAGACATCGATAATCGTCAAATCGGCCTAGCTTCAATTTGGACCGTTGGGCTTATATATTCATATGAGCTAGTGAGCTAATCCCAAATTTTTCCTTGTTTTTATAATATAATTTATATTTTTAAACTATTACATATATTTTTTATTACATTTCTACCATATATGGGTCTCAAAATATATAAAGCATTTATCTTAAAGATGAATGCAAATAGACAGTACATCTAAAAACAAAATAATAGTCCAAATATTTTTTTAATAAAATTATTATTTTTATTTTCAAAATTTATTTATTTATTTGTATTCAATGTTAGAGATTACGGGTCTGTGAAATTAAATCCAAAAATCCATCTTAAAAATATATTTTTAAGAGGTGATTTATTCTCTCCCCCCCCCTCCCGCGCATACACATGAAACCGTGTCCCCGGACACATAAAACCGTGTCAGTATTTAAATCCAATTTAAAAGACTTGGCCGAACACCGATTCAATTGCCGTTAGAATCTAGATAAGCGATGACAAAACACGTTTCTCTGAACCGTTCAATGTTCGGTGGAGTCCCCTGTTTTATGATTTCAAAGGAGACAAACAAATAAAGCCCCATTTACTAATCAGAAGAGAGACACAAAATCCATTTACTAACTACCAAGCAAAGGAGGAGATAAACATCAGAGACAGAGAGAGATAACTTGGGTTAGAATTAGATGTATAACGTAGGGAGATTTTTAAGTTGGAATCTACCCCACAACAAATCAATAACATCTTTCCTCACAACTCAATCCACACCTCTACCCCCAATCATTTTCATCACCCACAAAACAAAAACAGTAACCCCCTCATATACAATAGAGGCTAACAGGAGAGAGAGAGAGTCCAAGAACACAATCTACAGCAAGAATGAATAGAGAGTAAAAGCTATAAGAACAGACTTTCCAGTGAAATGAGGGAGGGGAGAAAAGAGAGAACCAAAGAACCAACTTCCAGGAGAAATGGCCGAGAGACAACAAAAGCCCAACAACAGATTTTCTGGGTGAGCCACGGTTGGCAACTACCTCTCCAATGGGTGAGCCACGGTCGGCACAACAATGCTGACCCGGCCGCCGCTAGCCCCTACGACACTGACACTCTCAGTGGCCGCGGCAACCCTCCCGACCTCCCACCTATGACAAAGCCTCCCAAGGGATGCTGCCTTCCTCCTCGCCCTAGGAGTGCCAGCTGCCATCAGCTCATACAACATCCTCCCTGCCCCGGATGCCCCTGCAACCTCCCTCACTGCCTCCCCTCCTCCCCCACGACACACATCCAACAATGTTGCCACCGCTTGCTCTCGGGACCTCGCACTCCCCCAGCCCAAAATCCCCACCAACACCCCAATCAACGACGATGAGCAATAAGAAGACCCCTTTACAAATGCCATAGCTCCTTGCTTCCCACACCGCCTGACGAGCAGTGCTACCACGGCGAGTGAATCCTCCACAAGCCCTTCCTCCAACAGAGGCCCCTCTTCACTGAACATCTTCATAATTGCATTGACAACGCCAGCCTTCAGGACCTTTTCATGGTTCTCTCTGTGAACCGCGAGATTAAACAATGCTGATACAGCATCACGCCGCCCACGGGACCCACCAGAGGAGAGGAGCCGGACCAGAGCTGCCAGTGCACCTGGCTCCTCTGCAACTGCGCGTTTGTGCTCTGGGGTGGCTGACAGGCTAAACAAAGCAGCCGCAGCATTTTCTCGGGCCTCTGCCGTGAGGCCCGAACTCAAAACGTGCACAACCCCGGCAAGGCAACCCTCAGTGGCCATTATCCTTCCTTTGTTGTCTTCTAGAATCGAAAGATTCAAAATTGCAGTCACTGCATTCTCTTGTGTCAACACGTCAGTTGAGCGCATGAGAGGGACCAATTTCTCAATTGCTCCAGCCTCTGCAATACAAGCTCGATTATCAGACCCCGATTTTGCCAGGAGTCGAAGCTCGTAAACCGCTTGACTTGCCACTTCGGGAACTGAAAGCTGAGAAACCAAGAAGGAAGCAGTCATTTTTGTGGCCTCGAGAGCTGCTTTGGTGCACGTCGCAGCCTCATTTCGACCACCCTTCTCTGATTTCTCAAATGGTACTCCACGTTCTCGACACCATTGTGCGATCAAGCTACGCAATGCATGGTTTGGAACCAAATTGGTGTGAGCAAGAACCTGACCACTCTTAGGGCAAGTGAGGTGGCCGTCCTCAATCCATCGGCTGATAGAACTGCGTTCGTAGGTCTGACCGCTGGCCACAATCACCGGATCATGCATTAGATCAAGTGAAATTGGGCACCGAAAATCATCAGGGATCAATGTGCCTTCCTCATTCTCTAAGGGCTTCTCTTGTCGAAAATTTTCGGGTTCAGGCGATGAAATACCAAACAATACGCATTTACAGTATCGGACCAGACTCACTAAGCTATTAATTACAGCGGTTGATTTGTCTGTTAGGCCCTGTGCTTGGACCTCCTCTTCTAAGAAAGCCATCTCTCTTCTGCAACTTTGTCCATCTGTTATCTCCAATCTGTCAAAGATTTGCTTCAATTTAGATCTCTCTGGTATGATTTCTCGCCCGATCTCGTCTAAAATCGATAAGACCTCACTTCTTAGGGTTTTATCACTCTGATCGATGAAAAGCTTTGATTTTCCACACTGTTTATGGACCAGTTCCACCTGCTCCTTTACATCTTCTAAGAGAGTGAGCTCCTTTAATGGAAGAACATCAAGAAGCGTAGCAAGCTCTAGAGTGAGCTCATAAAACTGGTTAGAAACCTCTTCGTTTTGCATCAGGAGCCAGATCCTGCTTCCATTGTTGCAGTCATCGAGCAAAGCTTTGATCCTCTCCAAAACAATGAAGATTTCTCGGAAACAGAGGATCGCCGTTTTTGGGAGAGGGGACTGTGTTTCTTTGAGAGTTTCAAAGAGAACGGTTAAGAGCTTCACCTTTCTGATTATAGCTGATGAGTTTCGCTTTTGCAATGGCTTCAGCGGCTTGTAAAGGGACAGCTCCTGAGCAAGAAGCATTAGCGCTTGAACTAGGGCAGTTTGAGAGAGATTTGACGGTGTAATAAAGGATCCAACAGATGGCCTTCTCTTCCTTGTCTGGAATAATAATGGAGATAGAGCCATAGATCTTAAGCTAGGATACTTCTTAGAGTTTACTTATTTACAGGCTTTTGGTTGAGTCCTGTGAAATCCATGACAAAAAAGGCACAAAATGTAAGCTTACAAAACCAAGAATTCTGATCATAAAATAAAACACCTTCAATTTCGATTATAGAGGAGAAATTCAGATATAAGAGAGTAACAACAAAAACGCCTTTGATTTGATTAAAGATAAGATTAATAGAAAGGAGAAATTTGTCCAAAAATTTGGTATTATCACATCAGAGAACCAGGAACAGATTTTGTGATCAGAAAGCTTAAAATCTCTTTTTCTTCCCAAGACAGCGATGAAAACCATAAAAGGGCACAGAATTTGTGATCAACTTTCTTTAACCTAAAAAATTGACGAAAAACCATAAAAGGGAAGAGATTTTGTGATCACAGAGCTAAAAATGTGATTCATTACCTGAAAAGAAATAAGAAAAACCTGAATCTTTGACCAAAAATCACTTTCTCCCAACTATAGCCTTAAACGGAACTCTAATGAAATAACGAATTAAAAATTCTCAGAGAAAACTCCAGAATGAGAGCCAATTCAAATCAGAATACAGAATCGTTCTAATGGAAACACTGCAAAGGGGAGAGACGGAGATTCAGAGAGACTACAGCTAAAAATCAGGATTTCAAGGCCAATTCATCGAGAGAGAGATTGAAAGAAGAGATGAAATACGAAGTCTAATAAAATGATTTAGAGGAGATAGAGAAGATAAGTAAGAGAGAGAAAGAGCAAAATGAGAAAGAGAGCACATAGTACGAAGTCTAACACAACGTTCACAGACCAAATCGTACCTTGTTCTCTGGAAGAAGAAGGTGCCTTTGGCTACCTCTGACAGCAACAAAATTAGGGTTTTTTGTTTTGCGATGAAAGTTTCTCCTCCTCTATCTTCTCGTTCTTCTTTCTTGGCCTTGTTATCGTGAAGCGTTTCTTTCTACGCTCCTGCCAAAAAAGCAAGGGTATTTATGCTGGGTTTGGATCCTTTCCTTTACTCGTATTATTTTTTTTGGTTTTGACGCGCAAATGGCCACCGTTACACTACCTGTCCTAACCCAAACGTCTCTTCATAACAAATTAGTATCTCAAAATTAATGCCTCCATTGTTTAATTACTGCTTACTGACGTATTTATACGGCCACATACGATTATGTATTTATGGTGATTAAATAGTCTAGTAGGGACTCCCAAGGTCGTGGACTCAGTTTTCCCGCCGGACCGAACCGAACTTATGGTACTACCATCAAACCGTAATGGTTGTCTTAGTTCCGTAGTTAAACCGGTGTTGTTTTGGTTTCGTTGTCGTTGTTCGTCTGGTCTAGAGTAAAATTTATGTTTCATACAAAAAAAACAAACAAAATCAATGTTTGATTGGTTTTGACCTATTGATTATCAACTTTCTATCGATTCAACTAGCCAAACAAAGTGTATTACTTTTTTAATATATTACATATTTTAAATTTATTATTCGTATTTTTCTTTGGGACTGTCTACAAATGCCATTTATGTTTTGAACATTGAGGTCACAATCATTCCCACTCATTAGATATCAAATTTGATTCCTTAGAGTGAGTCACAGAGTTTGAGTATTTTTTTTTTTTTTTTTTAAATTGTGTCTATTCAATGACACTCTTACAACCACCGATTTAAAAATTTAAGGGACAAAAATGATGGTGATGTACAAATGATAAAATGGTATCTTTGAAGATAATCCATTTTTATTTATATTCTTAAAATCTGGTCAAACCAATTCGAGAGGGAATTAGATTGGTTTGAACTAGACATGGTCCCTTCACCGATTCAAGAGTTGATGTAGTCTTTATAACTTTGCCCTTGGCCTATGAGCGTATCTATGAGTCATAAGGAAAATTTTAACAAAAAATTTCTAAAACACTTAAGGGAAGGTTTGTTTCGCATAAAAATATTTTCTGGATAATATTTTCTTCTTTGTTTTGACAAATGTTATGAACTTTTATTAAAGCAATGATTCAAGAGCATGAGATTACAAATATTGGATCAATTCGTTATAAACTTGCAAAAAGGGAAGGGAAACATTATGTTTAGCTAGCCCATCAGCAACATCATTGACTTCACGTATGGTGTGGCTCAAGTATATCCTCAAATTAAGTCAAGCACGTAGGTCTTGAATTTTTAACCAAATAGTAAATAGAGATCAGGGGATCTTTTGCTATTTTCTACATTACTTGATAATATTCGGGGAATCCCCTTCAATTATAATATCACCAATGAAACCCTTGTCGATGATAATATGAATGCCTTGAAGGAGAGCAGTCAATTCAGCATGATTGGCTGTTGTAGACCCACAACGACCCGAATAAAAAAAAAGAACTGATTCAAAATTGTTGTGAGAAACCCACCAACACCTGCAAGCCCTGGGTTTTCAAATGATCTAACATCAAAATTAAGTTTGAGGCAAGTTTCTAGATGTGCAATCCAAGTTCTAAGATGATGGCTAGAGTGAAAAGATGAATGAGCCAAAAATTTCAGATTGATATAAATATCAGTTCGAAGAGCACCCTGTCATTCAGGTGTGGAGGAAGACCAATTCTAAATATATTGTAAAATGAAATTTTTTACCCTTTAAATACTCTAAGACACTTTTAATACTCTAACCAAATCTACCATAAGGTTGCACTTCTTAAAATTTTCCAAATCACAACTCCTTTTTTTGGTAATCCAATGGCATAAAGATGGTTAATAATGTTGATGAAATTCAAATGTGTCATGAGGAAAAAACCCAGTAAAGAGAAGACCCAGGGCCATAAGCTAAAAGCAAAAGGACAGTGAAGGAAAATATGAGAGCAAGACTCTTCATCATTTTTACCATCAAATAAATGTTTGGAATAACTTTACCATTCGTTTGCATATTGTCTACTGTTAAACATTTCCTTTGACATGCGACCCATATGAATGCTTGGATTTTAACCGGAACTGGTCATTTCCAAATAGAACCCCAAAGATGTATCAACAATATGGACCTGATTCATAAAAATGAGCCTATACAATGATTTGACAGAAAAAAATCCGTCAGTTTTTTATTCCCATATGACCAAGTCTTCGGCATTAGAAGATACGTAAACTTGTTCAAGCTGTTGGAGGAGATTGTGAAGCTGCGAAATAACCACGTTCAGTAGCCTATTGTAGCGGCATGCAATGTTCTAAACCATACAATTAGAGGGGGAAAGAGAAATCAACTCTGAAAGTTTAGCATCATGTTTAGCAACTTTGGCAAAGAGGTCGGGATAAATAGCAGAGAGAAGTTCATCACCAAGCCATTTGTTGAACCCAAAGATAATGTTATCTCCATTGGCAATAAGTCACATGATATTGTTGAAAACAATGTTTCTACATAAATATCATTCCAAATCTGTGAGGTAAATTTGCCTCATCTACGTTGTTTAATCGAGTAGATGACATGGTTGAAACCATATTTAGCAATTAGCACATCCTTCCAGAGATGAGAATAGCCATAAAAGATTCTGCACCACCATTTGGATAGAAGCACCCAGTTTAGAAGTTTAAGCTTTTTGATACCCAAACCCCCTAGCTTTGATGGCATACAAACCTGGTCCCAATTTACCAGATGAAACATTATGAAGTTGTCATCCATATTACCTCAAATGAAATTTCACGTATATTTTTCAATAAGCTTGATTACTTCACTAGGTATTTGTAGGACTGACATCAAATAAATAGGAAGATATGTATAGATGGATTTAACCAAAGTGATATGCCCTTCAAAAGATAAAGTCTTGGTCTTTTATAAGTCTAATTTAACTTGATACATGTGAATAAGAGGGTCCTAGGCTGGACGAGCGAGCTTACAATCAGAGATAGAAACCCCTAAATATTTAAGGGGAAACTTCTCAACTTTGCAACCCAAAATTGAAGCAAGATAATCCAAAAGGCTATTAGAGCAAGAGATGCCCACAATTGAAGTCTTATGGAAATTTATTTTGAGGCTCAAAGTTAGCTGGCAACATAGGAAGAATGTACTAAGATTCTGCACTTGCTCTTCACTAACATCACAGCAAATCAAGGTGTCATCTACATATTGCATATGTGAAATAGTACGTCAAGATGATGAAAATTGAAAACCTATAAGAATACATGCATTTACAACATTTTTAAACATCAAGCTCAAACTTTTTGCTGCTAAGGTAAAAAGAAAAGGAGAAATAACCCTTTAAGATATCTGTTAATAAGAACCAATAAATTGGCCGAATAAATGTACCCCATAATTCAATAATTATCTCGTGTGGAAAACATTTTCGCATGAAAAAATTCCCTTTTGTGGTTAGGTGCGTACATCTTTTCGCACCACTTGGTAACTACTGATGCAAAAATATCTCAATAACTAATCAGGAAAAATTTATTTCATGTGAAAATATTTTTTAAAAAATATTTTAATTTTCACACGAATCAAACATGAATTCATTGGATTGAGCTGCTCCAATCATCTATGGATGCTCCGAATCAATCTTACAAGGCCCTTCAAACCGGCGATTTAGACACTTGCATGTGTGTATCCTGCTTAGATGGCCGTATTGGAAGTACACTCATCTATAAACGGAGAAATACTCCTTACACTGAATACTATTTTTACAGTCGTATACGTTATCTACATATGGCCAAGTGCACGTGGCCACGTGGCGATAAGCTTGAGCCGGCATCCCTGTCCCGTGACACTGCGTACTTAATTCACTACGTGAGGTCACCCACTTGTAAATTTACGGAAATATCCTTTATTTTTCCTAAAATTAATGCTTATATCCTTTCAAGTATATCTTAGAAATTTTCCAGATAGAAACATTAAAGATTTAAACTGAGCAGCCAAAGGGGACTGCAGCACATGCGCGCACCTTTGAGAGAGAGAACAATTCAATAAATTCGGTATTTAAATATTGGATTATTACCGTAGTGTCTTTATAGTCAAATACATAAAATTTTTACCCCAAATTAAGAATATGAATTGAACTCACCATGAAAATTTCAACTACATGTACAAGGGGACTTAACCGCAATAGGGGATGCATCCTGATAAGTTATATCACTTTAATAAGTTTAATGAGACATTGGATAACCGCCCTAAGCTTATGCGCTTCAATTATGTCTAATGTTTACTGGTGGTCTGTTTTAATGATCACATGGGATAGGTTCATTTGGGTGTGGATGCTCCTATAGGGTTGGCAATGGGTCGGGTATGGGTCAAGTCTAACTGGACCTGTCGGGTCCTGGACCTTTATCTAGAGTCGTTGGGTCTTGAGTCTGGTCCAATCCATTACCACCTTATGACTATGAGTCTATTTTTTTTTTTTTTTTTTTTTTTTTTACCATTATATGCCTTATGACTATGAACTCTTTTTTTTGCCAACAGTATTGTAAATGTTGTCAATATTGTGACAATATGGACACCTAGCACGTGCCTAAAGGTACATGAATGCCATTATATACCCTATGACTACATGTACAAGTCGGGTCTGACTAGACCCGGACCCAAATGGTGTTCAGGTCCAAATTTTTTATCCATACCTGAACCAGGGGTCGGGTATACCCATCAAGTCTTGAGTCTAGCCAGGTCCATTACTACCCATATGCACCTAGTTCATCTCCATTATTTAAAAACTGTCGAGTCAATTCGAAATCGAACTAGTTGTCTCGATAAAATTTAATGCTTAAAAACTCAATAATTGTCGGAGTCTCCTAGTGATTTTCGTATGATCTGAAATTTCCCTGCAGAAAAGGATATGGATGGCCTTGAGTTTGCTCCACCCTGAGAAGTTGAAGCCAAAGTAGCTTTTTGGATGACAATGACCTGGATTAATTTTTTATTTTTATTTTTATTTGTAAGCCTAAATTTTATTTTATGGCCATCAAGATAATTATTGATTTTTCATTGCATAAAAAAATGAAAGCCGCACTTCAATCAGCATATGG